GATTTTTTTTTTTTGGACATCATGCTTCATTATATAGTGTAGATATATGCTAAATAAGCCATACCCACAGGGTGAAATGACAGCACTGAACAATCAGAAGCTAATGTACTGTATGTTAACTTCCCCATTTAGTTTTCTGCAGAAGAGAGTCTGACACCTAATTAGTGCAAAGCCCACCAGTCTTGTTAAACTATGGTCACCCCTATTGCTAATATTTCTTCAGCTGATGAGATACTAGCCATGGTGGGATATTACATTTACAACTATTTATTAATTGCAAAATTCCAACTTCTTACAAATTCAGAGTGGAAACTTCTTACAGACGTCCCTCATATCTGTACAGGAGAACCTGTTCCTTTGAGAAAAAGTGATAATGTAATCTATTCTACATTTCATGTTAAAAGATGAGGGGATTTAGTTTGTAGTAGCCTCTCCTGGGCATAATGCTATCCAGGATTTATAAATTCAAGAAGGCCTTGTGCTGGCTGAAGGGACACAAACCCTCAAATTAGCAGTGGGTTTAAATAGCGTTTGCAGTAAGCAGTACAAAACACTGGTTATTCACGTGCCCTGTTACTCCAGATGTGGTGTTGGTTGAGTTGTGCCCATTGCTGACTGACTTTCTGTTCGCTTCATGGAATTATTTTTACAGTGCACACATGATTAAATGTGTTTTAAAAAGCAAGCAAGAAGAGTGACACTGAGCAACAGAAGTGATTTCTGCTCAAAACAGAAGAATATGAAAGCTGGGAAAATAAAAGAAAGTAATATAGTGTCTAAAACAATGTGACTGATCCATTCTTATTAGGAATGAATAAAAAAGTATAAATATGACTTTCAAAATGTTTTTCTATGTTTCTCTAGGAGACTTTAGAAATTTAATAAAATTATGGGCATTTGATGAAAGGTGCAGGTTCAGCCTGAAAACCCAAACATTTCTTAGCCAAACATTTCTTAAGCAAGAATTCTTTTATCATAGCATCCAACACACCCTTCAGAAGATGTACATGGAATATAGGGAATGGAGATTATGAGGGAGCACACATTTTCTAATAAGAATTTTCTCCATTCTAGAATCGTATTTAATTTTGAAATGCTCCAGTTAAAAAAAAAATAGCACACCATGTTTCCTTTCTCATCTACATTTCAGTTAATGTAAAATAATAAATGTAAAACAATTTAAAGTACATTTCATTTCCTTTCTCAAATCACCAAGTGTAGTAAAGTGTATTTTTTTTGTTTATCCTGAAAGGACCCTAGGCTTAATTGATACTACAGTGTATGAAGAATGTAGAACTAGGCACTAGTTACGGAATATCACAATGCTGCTGAGAGCTTATTTTGTAAACCCAAATTGTTGTTTCTCTGTGGTTACTTGTAGAAACTATATAGACAGATATGGTATGATTATTCCTTACCAGCTCATTGCTGCCATCCTCATCAAAATCCTCCTCAATCCCATCAGTCATATCTTCTCCATCTGCATCTGGCCCTCCTTCAATTTGCTCTTCTGTAGAGTTATCTGCATTCTCTGATATGCATTCCTCTTGAATCAAATCAGCATTATCTTCCATTTGTTTCTTTTGAGCTTCTGTAAGGAAAACATACTCTATAGAGATTCAGTAACTTTCCCTCCCTATTGGTGGCAATGAAAAGTGTTCTGAGGAAGAAACTTAAGCTTCTCATCTCCTGATATGCTAGGTTTGTAAAAATCAGTGTGTTAATATTTACCAAGCAAATATGACCAAACACCTTGTTTACAAGACTTAATGCAAAAATCAACCACAGTACCAACATGCTTACCTATCCCATGCAGTGGATGAATGCTTGATTCATCATCCAGTTTTCTAGACTTTGCTTTGCCCTGGGAATCCAACTGGCATAGTCACTATATATTTATTTATCTGCAGCCAATAAGAAGTACATAAATCTCTATGCTCTGAGAAGTGGAAGGTTGATAATTGCCAATAAGTGAACAAGGTTTTGCCTAAATTTGCTGTGAGTATATCTCAGCAACCACACAGATAATCAACAAGTCCTTCTAGATGCCTGAACATACTTTTTATGGAGTAAAGTAACAGTTTCTCCCTGTTGGTATAGTGGGCTGAGGTAACTGCAGAATCCCCCCCTACCATTGCCCAAATATAGGTTTCCTATAATTTCTGCAAAGTGGTGAAAAGAAAGACCATTTCCATGGATGCCCAGAGGATCTGTTCTGGTTGTCTTAGCACAGATAGCTGCATTGCTGTGATTATGTGTTGTGAAAGTCCTGGATATGCTGAGGAATTTCACCTAGCCAGCAGAAATCCAGAGGAGGATTGAGGCAGAAATGACAGAGATAGACTAGCCAGAAGAGTGGTTGGAGGGCTCAGAGTCTTATTTCTACGCACATCAGGAGTTTAGATGAAAATCTTTACGTACTCAAAGTGAATATGGGACAGAGAATTGATTGCATGTAGCTGGAATACCAATGTTTTTCAGTCTGAGGGTGACAATACCCATTAATGATCAAATTTCTAGAGCAAATCCCTTTCTTTCTTTGATTGACTGTCATGTAACTCTAGTAGCACATCACCTATCTCGTCAGACAGTCAATGAATCTGCAGATTGCCTGTGAAGCTCTATATTTTTCAGGTTTATGAATATATTATTATTTTACTGTAAATTACTACCAGCTGCATATAATATTCAAATCTGCTTCTACTTTTCTGTATCTTAGTCTTAAACCAAGACATTTGCTTTTTCTTCTACCTCTGCACATTTATTTTGTGACTTACTTTCATCTCCTCAGTCTTTGTTAGCCTCTAATTCCTCATTTTCAAATTAATTTACTGAAGACAGAACGATTAGGCTTTTTTCCCTTAGTCACATAATTTCTTCAGAAAGATTCTTGGATTTAAAGAATAAAAAGTCATCTTAGATAACTGTTTTAACAGTACTTTAGTCACGCATATTAGTAGAAGATTCAGCCTATAGATCCTCATCGTCTATTGGTAAGGTACTTTATGAAATACCATGTTAGTTATAAGTCATTGTGTTACTTGCCTTACTGCACAAGGAGATGTGAATTGAATCAGCTATGCCTACTATGTCCTGCCTCACAACCTTCTGCTTCAAGCCAGCTCAGATTAATCCAGCTGTGGCAGTGACAACTAATCAACTTTGCTCAAGGCTTTCAAAAAGAGATTCTGAAATTATGGACTTGATACATTTAAATGGGAAAAAATTAGGATATAGCTGGAAAAAAATAAGATCACTTACTAAATTGTCTGAATGAGAACATAGACTGGGTTCTTCAGAGGAGTCTAAAATACCATCTCAGCATCTAACTCTTCTGAACTCTTCTGAGAAGCTAAATTTAAGATCCTACCTTTCAGAACCCACCTATAGTATTACAGGGAGAATATCCTCCTCTAACAATTTTCACATCAGAACAGCTTCTTATCCCTGGCTTCTTGATTCAGAGTTTTACAAACAAAGGAGCTATTCCTGCAGTTTCCCCATGTACGGGAAATCCTGTTATCTATATTCCCCCTAGTGGAGTGGTCAGGGGTTGGTAACAGTAGAAGACAAAACATCAGTTACTACTGTAAGGAGAGTTTTCAGACAGCTATAGAGCAGTAATCACTGTGTGCACGGAGCTTGTCCAGCTTGTCTGTTTAACCTATCACATTCCTCCAGACATATAACTTTTAAGATTAATAATTAAATATTCTTCATGAAAGTGATGCAAACTTAAAAAACCAACAGGGCAAGACGATCGCTTGATTGGAGTAAACGAGTCATAGCTCCTGTCTCTGATCCCAGTCTTAGCGAGGCTACAACTTCTGGCAAAGAAAGTATGAAATAATATTGCCAAACCATAGAGAAGGAACAAAATCATCTCATATCTGACGCCATAAATGAAATAGTTCAGCTACTGATGTAGTTTTACCTTACAGAAATCTTTTAGATGAGGAAGCAATCATCTGTGTACTAATCAGTCAGGCTGCATAATCTTCATCAGCTCAGGGATGGGGATCCAGGTTTACTGGTATCTCTGAGGTGTTTTTTCTCCTCACACCCTCCAATGAGAGGCAAGGAATATGCGGGACAGGTTCTGCACCTGATGTTTTAGAACATCAACAATTTGAAACCATTTTTAAGTCTCTGAAAGCAACTCATTGCTTGTCTTCAAATGGCATAACAGTATGATTCAATACAAATCAACGTTTTCATCTTTGAGCTGATTACTATTTAAATGAGTTCACTACAGTCCTTTAGCAAAAGTGAAAACTGGATATCAAAGTCCAATGACATGCAGGTTGTTTTGCATAGTAATGAATTTTATATTAAAGCTCCCTGAAGTAGGTATATGCCATCTCAGAGCATTTCAGTACATATGTGATTCAATGCAGTGCCTTGCAATTACATCTCCACTGATTATACCAACTTTTATCTATCTTGCATAAAGTACAAAATAGAATATAATAAATACATATTGTGTACTGTTCTCCTCAAGAGTTAATCATACTCTGTGCGAATGGTTTACCTTAAACTTGAAAAAAAAAGCCCTGAACTTTTTTTGCGGGGTAAACTGCAACAGTTGAGGAGCTGAGGGATTGGTCCTTGTCTGTCAACTTAGAAAACGACTGTAAATAAAAGGTAGAAATTTTTTAAAGAGCTGGGTTTTTTGGGGGGTCTTTTGATTTTTTTAAAATGCTTGTTAACCACAAAACAATTTTCTGTAGTCTTCTGCCCTAGAAAGGCGTTCATTGGAATTATTTCTGAACCCCAGCAGGAAAATTCTAGGTTCAGAGAGATACCCTCACAGTAGATCTGGAAATACAGTGGGCACTTTGGAACAAGAGGGATCCAGATCTAAATACCTATTCTGCCTGTGTCAGGTTCATGAGCTGCTAATTCCCACCAATGTTTTAGTTTGCCTTGATGAAACTCTTTTTAAGTGTCCCAGTAGGGGTCTTTTCTCTCACGTAAGTGATTTGAGTTGGGGAAGGGAGACAAATTTGAGTGTCCAGACACTCAGGCAGCTGTGAATTCCGAGGCAGAATTTCTGTCACGCATTTCACAGAAAACACATAAAAAGTTTTCATCAGAGAATGAAAGGGGGGGGGAAAAGGAACATTGAGATTTTTTATGATTTCTATTTTTCCATTTCCGCACTGGCTTTCATCATAATCAGCTTGTTAATACACAGTTCCTCTACAGCAATACACCATGTGATTTATAAGGAAATAGCTAAGGTGTCATAGACAGTGCTAAGAATTGAGACTGTTTCCTATATATACTGTGGAGCAAATACAAGCTTATAAATCCTTTATAACTGCTCAGCATGGCTTTAAAGTGCTGCCAGCTGAGATCATTCAGCTAACAAAATGTTCACTGCAATGACAGAAAAAAAGATCTTGATTAAATTAAAAAGTAGAGCTGGATTTTGTCACTCCCAAGGTTTGCCTCAAAATAAAACATTTCAAACCAGAGAAAAGCTGAACTAGAGGTGTGGCCCATTTTACAGAGATGCCACAGTTTCACGCGATAGTTTAGGTCGGAAGGGATCTCTGGATTCTCCAAGTTCAACCCCTCTTCAAGGCACGGCCAAACTCAAAGTATGGTCCAGGTCCACAGGGCCTTGACCCAATGAGTTTTGAACGTCTTCAGGGATAAAGCTACTACGGTCTCTCTGGGTAGCCTGCTATACTGCTTAGTTGCATCAGTTTCCCTTACATCAAACAGGAATTTCCCTTGTTGCAACTTATGACTATTGCCTATTGCCCAGGCAATAATTCCTGATACAGAACATCTAAAATTTCTTAAAGTAGTTAGCACAAGCATCCCCGAAGTCAATAACCCTTAACTTAATTCTGTGCAGTCAATTTTTAAATGTTGTTTCCACAACATCTAGTAAGAATCTTTTATTTTATATTTTTTTATTATTACACCATAGGAAACACTTCTTAAAAGGATGCTGTATGCTCTGTGAAGAATATTAATGTGTCCTTCCAGTAGCTCTACCTGAGAGTTAATTTACCTTGCTTCAGGCCTCTATTATGTAGCAAAATTTCTGGAAGGCTTCTGTTCTCTCTGGTCTGTCTGCTTGACCGATAACTAGGTTCTAATTTAATTCATTTGACTACAAATTGCTTTCACCTACCTGCTTCAGCTTTTTGCTGCTTTTCAATCTTTTCCAGTCTCCCTAGCAAGGAGTCAATTTTTGTTTTGATTTGGGTTAATTCCTTCTTGATTGTTTGCAACTCATCTGATTTCACTGTGGAAAGAAAGCAAAGATGCAAAACATGAAATAAACTATATTTGCAGTCCGCCATGAAAAAAACATGTCCTTTTTTCTTTCCTCTCAAGTACAAAGTCTACTCTCTCTTTTCTGTCAGTAATTTTAGAGATTAACTTTTAAAACAAATGATGTTAGTTAAAACTGCTGAATCCTAGGAATTCTCAGGATTCTAAGCCTTAATGGCAAGAGGTTATGTGAGATATATTGCTCTGTAATAAGCATTTCAGGAAAACGTCTCAAGGGAATTCTTAGTAAATCTGAGTTAGTTTTACTGAAAAACAGTGAATGATTCAAATAAGACAGTTCACAGTCTAACAATGCTATCCCACTGAACTATTTTGTAGTAATAGTGAGAATAATAAAAAGCCGCCTCCCAGTAGCTGTAGATATTTTTCAACAATAGTGAATGGTAAAATAAACGCTTGGGCAGCCAGGAATACAATGTTATGTTCCAGTCAATAACTTCATTGCAGTAGGTGTTAAGTATTATTGCCTGAAAAGCTTTCAGTTCTGGTAATTTCTTGTACTTTTTCCAGCTATGGGTAACACATGAAAATATTTCTTTTTATCATTACATCCAGTGACATGGAAGAAACACCCGTAAATTAAGAGCTGAAGTTTCCTAATCTTTGTTGTATTGCATTACTCTTCATTCATGCTCATTATTGCACTCCCATTGTCTGATGTAAAGAGTAACTGCTTTGGAGGTGTTTTGGCTTCAGAAGAAACAGCACTGCAGCACTCATAAATTACCTCATAATTATGATATTATCAGGGTAGGATTTTATGCTCAGAAGATAATCCAAACAAATTCACTTGCCCTGTCTGTGCTAGGATATCACATTTAAAAGGCCAGAAGGAGAAAACAGGAACTCTGTGCTAACATGGGAGTATAAAGCCACTTACAAAGGTCAAGAGTAGGTAACACAGCTGTCACTCTTACAACTCTTGTAGGAAGAAATGGACCATCCCCAGTGAGGGACTGGCAATGGAAGTGCACTGAACAGTACTACTCTTTCATCCTTACCATTGATGAAGGAGGATGTGCATTGACTGTGTGCATTCAGAGCAATGGGAGGGCTCCCATTAGTGAGTCTGGCAAAAAGGGATGTTCTGCCATGGAGAAGGACATGTTCCCTTTCTGTCCATAGGGTCTCCTGGCTGAATCTTGCCATACTAGTCCTGTTCATTGACTCTTGGGCATGTATTTCATAGAATGGTTAGAGTTGGAAGGGACCTTAAAGATCATCTTGGTTCCAACCCCCCTGCCATGGACAAAGACACCTGCCACTAGGCCAAAACCCTGTCCAACCTTGCCTTGAACACTTCCAGGGAGGAGGCATCCACTACTTCTCTGGGCAACCTGTTTTAGTGTCTCACCACCCTTACTTCATCATGGTGTCTCATAGGTATTTTTTATTGAACAGTCAGTATCTGATGATAAATTGTGCAGGCAAGCTTCAGTGGTAGTAAATGAGTATGTGTTTGTTTTGAATCAGGCTTATTGTAAACTTGGAGCATATTCACTGAGGTTGAAACCAAAGCTTTTTTCTTAGAGTTTAGATCATGTGCGTTATAGTAATAACAAGTCAGCTAAAGGCAGTAGGTTGCTATATTCAGTAATGAACTTATTTAATTGCATATCTCACACTATCATAGACTGAAACCTCTGATTTCATATCAGTGAATGCTAGGACTTAGAGAACAAAGCTTAAAAGTAACTTTTGTGCTAGACCCTTATATGCTATACAATATTTGATGAAATTATTCTGTATATTTATAGAACAAGGCCTTAAAATGTTCTTAGAGAAATAATGGGTCACTGTCCAATCCCCCAGATTTGTAACAAAACATTAAGATTCTGACAATTGTGTTTTTAGAAGGTTACTGCTTCCCCAGGGGCAGTGGCTGGTCCATGCTGGAATAGCAGCAGAATCCAGGGTGAAATGCTGTGAATCTGTCCAATGGGGAATGCTATGTGTTTGCAGCAACCCTCTATGAAGACAGCTGTCAAAATATCCCAAGCGATCAAGTTGTTGTGTTAGAGGTGCTCCCTTGACTGGCAAACAACAGGCTTGCCAAGGCTAAAAGGTCAAAATCAGAAGTGGCACTGCAAGGACCTAATGGTATTTGTTCCCAGTCTAAAAATCAAAGCAGAAAACACTTGCACTCCTGAGTCTAGTAAGGAAACAGGCACATACATAGGGTTACTGTTTGACTTAGGTCAAACCTGCTTCACAGGGGCTTCCCTAGGGTGTCTCAGTAGGAAGAAGACTGCACCAGAGGGAGCATGGACATAACAATGCTGTAAATGACTGAGGAGCTTTACTGCTAGCTTGCAAAATTCCTCTATGCTAAAACTGTTTCCTCAAGCTTTGGTCATTGAATCTGCAATTTATCATTCACATTTAATGACATGATTCTATCATACAGCCAATCACTTCAAATTAATACTAAAAAAAGATGGAAAGAAAAAGTGGAAATATTTTAAACAAATTTCCATCCTGGTTCCAATATTGTGATGGCGTAGAGTTGCTTATTGTGTTAATTTGCAGAGAATTGTTCAAATCTTCAAATTAATTCTTCTAGAGAAATTCTACTCTCAGTTAGATTGTACTGGATATTTCTGTAGTAAGCAGCAGTCATAAACACGTTATGAAGGATCCTGATGGAAAACAAGCTGAATATGAGCCAGCGGTACATGCTTGTGACAAAGAAGACCATCAGCATCCTAGGCTGCATTAGGAGGAGTGTTGCCAACAGGTTGAGGGAGATGATACTTCCTCTCTACCCAGCACTTATGAGACCACATCTGGAGTACTGTGTCCAATTATGGGCTCCCCAGTATAAGAGAAAATGAAGAAGACAAAGCCAGACTCTTCTCAGTAGTGCCCACTAACACAACAAAGAACATTGGTATAAATTAAAACACATGAAATTCCATCTAAACTCAAGAAAAAGTTTGGGGTTTTCTTTGGTTTTTTTCTGGTGAAAATGGTCAAACACATGCAGAGGCAGCCCAGAGAGGCAGTAGAGTCTCCATTCATGGAGAAATAAAACCTTAAAGCTAAGATAGTGTTGACACTACAAATGGATATGAACAAATGAGAAACAAATTTAAGCTGAAAATTAGAAGAAAGAGATGGACAAAAGCCAAACCCTAGCTAGCTTTAAGATGGAGCTTAAAAGGTTAGATGATGCAGCTACTTGCAAGAGTAAAGAATTAGGTTCAGTGACCCTTTCCAGCCCTCTGCCAGAGGGGCACAGAGGGGCCTTCCAGAATTCATCTTTCACGGAAGCATCTAGCATCAAAGGAGGCAAACTGCATCCAGCTCAAAACAAGAGATTTAAAATTGAGGTCAAATTTTTAGAAATGAAAGCGCTACTGTTGAATTACAGCTATATGTGTGAAACAATTTTTGCCATAACTCAAATTGATTCACCCACAAAGCCTGATTAACATTTCCTTGGAAAGAAATAATGTATTTTTATCTAAGCCCTTCATGTTTAATATAAACTCTGTTATCATATTTTACTACTTTACATTTCACTGAAAAGTGGGTTAGCTGATGAAGCTAAATATAAGCTATATGAGTCAAAATAAATTAATTTAAAGGCATAACTCAGTACATATTGTAACATCTTAAGTGTCCTCTCCTTAATCTCAGTCACACAGGATACAAAAAAAATTATTAATGCTTTCCTTCTGTTTTCACTTGTGTAAAATGAAAGTGCATACTCCAAGAGCATACTCACAGAAAAAGTGAGTTTTTCCCAGTTTTGAATAACAATTTGCATCTGCTGCTTGATACCATTATCATAGAGAACTACTATGTGTAGTTTCCACACCAACATGTTTTATTTTGTGAGTTACTTCTGATAATGTGGAAAGGTTGATTCATTTTTTTTCTAGTCTTTGTAGTTAAAAAGAAAACAAAATGGTGTCAGTTGATCCTTGAAAAATTATAGATTCACGAAAGAAATAAAATCCTCTTAACTTATTCTGTGTTTTGGAAGCAAATTTAGAACACATATTGCCACTTCTTTGGTAGAACAAGAATTTACTGTACTGGCAGATGCTATTTTTGCAGATGTACTTTTCAGTGAGCAAGGCATATTTGATATTATGTTTTTATAATATCTTTGCTTTGTGCCACAACAAACTTCAGTCATTGGATTGCTCGTTTTCAGAACCAAGTCCCTCTAATCCTGATAATTTGACTGAGTGGTCCCCTGTGTTCTAACCTTTAATACTACATGTATGAGTTAATTTTCTGGACCTAGTCTGAGTGCAGAGAAAAGCTGTGAGAACAGTTATGCCCATGAGATTTGTACTTAAATCTGAAAAGTCTATTAGGAGATGTGATCTTGTGAGAGTTTTGCTATTTGGGGGTGAAATCTTTCAAGCATAGGCATTACAATTTTGACATAGTTAATTCTGAACTTGGGACTAAGCTGTTCTGCGGTCTTGAATTTTATTAAAATCCAAAATAACTTCCTTCCCCCAAACTACATTTCTCCTTGTTGAAGAGATCTTTTATTTAACTAGCAATAAATTACAAATAGAATCAACAGTGCATTAGTTCAAGGGGTTCAGATTGGCAGTGCAGAGTAAGAGGCAACAGAATATTAAATTGCTTTATCCCACAATTCAATATAACCAACTTTTCCAGGAAAATGGCAAAAGAATCCACAAAACACACATTCTCTACTTACGAACTTGAAGGCCCTAAGGGAATGGTTCAGTTATTTCTCTGATAAATGTCTTACAATAAGCTGATTACATTCCTTTCCATGTCAACAAAACCATGTTTCTACCTTTATGATGGGTTGGTTGGACCTGACAAAAAGGGAAGTAATTCTATGGGGAAATCAAGCATGAAAGTCTGTATACTGTGTGTCTGACTCCTTTTAAATGTGTGCTACATGCAGAAAGAATATTTTCTGCAATTTATTCCAGCTCAATAAATAGTCTCTGCAGTTGGATTCCCATTATGATTGCAAAGAAATGATGGTGGAAACCCAAAAGGGGTCAAAACATCAGCCCACATTTCTAGTGATGCATCTTGCAGCTCTCATTTCAGTGTTAAAGAGCTGGATCCAGAGATGATCTTGTCATCTGGAGCTCTAAGACTGACATTTTTAGAATTTACATCACATCTGAATACATCGAAGGATATTTTTGTCAGGGCATAACACTGTCTGTTGGTATCTCTTCACGACTGATTGCACTTCCATGAAATAATTTACAGGTTCTGCAGCATTTGCCATGTTATGCTGACAATGTTTTGGAGATCTTTTAGCAAGTGGCTATGGGTACTCGGACTTGTGAGTTAACTCGGAGTTGAATTCTGTAATCTATGTTATGCATTACTAAAGCCCTACAAAACATTTTCTGCAATATGGAATAAATAATTAAAAAAATTCGGTGATTATTCTGAGGAACAGATATCTGCATATTAATGTAATATGCTATGTCCCATTCACAACATGAAAATCCAGATTTCTGGATGAGAGACTTCCTTGACATCTATTGGGATATACTAACATGCTCAGCTCTCTAGGAGAATATTATAGTTGTTCTTGTTCTGGTCAATGAGAACTATATATAAAAAACACTTATCTGAAAATACTTTATCTTATCAAAGCAAAGTGAGTCCAAAAAGTCCATTCATATTAGACCACACTTCAGCACTAGTAGTGAATTGAATACACTAATACTGCTAACTTTTCATACGGATAAAACAACAGTAAAGGATGAACAAAGGAGATCTAATGAATGAATCTGTAAATGTATATACTTGCTAAAACTTTGATTCTCTATGTGAAGACCCAAAGACTCAAGGGCTGGAAAAGACTAACAAAATAATTTAAATTCTAATTTTACTAAAGTGAAGATCTTGAGCTTTATGCCGTCTTTTAAATTGATGTAAGGAATCACAATTCATTACTTAAAGTATTGGGGAAAGACAAAAAGTTGCTATGGACAAGTGGATTAGCTCAAGATGTGTATGAATATTTCTAGACTCACGTTCATCCTCCAGCAAAGAAAGGAAGCATTGCTATTTGCAGACATCCGCTTAGAGTGAGTGAGCTCCATAATATGACACCTAAATTTAGATGTCGTCCTGTGTGCTGGTTATCAAAGCTCCCATTATCAGTAATGGACATCTAGCCAATTCATTAACTGGAAATTTGTATGTGATTCAACTGCACATCCAATAGACCCTCTCTTTCTCAGAATGTCATCCTTTCCAAGGAATGGCTTGAGCTCCCCATTCCTCAATGTACAACATTATCTTGTGATTCATTTATCACATTTCTACTCTTTCAGTCACATGCATATTTATTACATGTTTTCTTTCAAGGTCTCTGATACCATTAGTTCAAACAATAGGGTCAATAATGGATCCTAGTGGGCTCACTAGAGGTCCATCTTCTTTGTTAGATGCTAGTGTGTGAAATTTGGATATGTTATGGAAGCAAAGTATATAATTGGCTCATGTTGATGCCATAATTAACCCCTATTACAATAAGAAGTAAGTACTGTAGGTGGATTCACTTATTTCATGGTTGTTTGCAAGACAGCATGGTGCTTTTTTGGCCAGTCTGGTACTGCAAATGTCTTATGGAAGTTCCTTTATGCTTTCCAATCTGAACCCTACCTGATCTTTCTCTTCTTCTTCCAATGACGTTTCCAAGGACAGTATCATTCCACATAAGGGGCAGGGAAAGACAGGTGGGTGCTGAAAGATGCACGAAGAAGAAGATGAAGTTCCCAGAACATACTGTGGAGTGGGGAGCTTGATGAGCATGGAAGAGGGAATGCCTATTGTTCATCGGCTCTTCTAAGGTCAACTCACTAAAGAAGGGTTGAATAATTCCAAGTTGCTAGTCCTGTTTTTTACTCCCTTTAGAACAGGCAAAGACACTGTGCCTCTTTCTAACCTCAAAGGAATCCAGCAAAGAATGCACACACAACCCAGCCTCCCCTGCCCGCCCCAGCCCACTTCCCGCAAGCTCACACATAACCCTCAAGTCTCAACAGAAATTAGTGTGCCTCTTTCTATAACAAGATTATTAGCTTTGCTTTATTATCATCTGCTCAAAAGACCTCATGGTGCATAAACAGTCAGGATGATAGGAGACTTTAGACAGGCTTCTTCGGAGGCCAAGGGAGTAGGTCAAATGTTATTGAAGGGATTTACTTCAGAAGTTACATCAGTGTCCTCTTTGACTTGCAGGAAAGGCATGGCAGCCTTGGTATTCAAACGAGTTTTTCAAGCTGAAGACTGAGGGTAGGAAATGACTACAACAGAGCTATTGTTTCAGTAATATCCAACTGGTATGAGCAACTCACATTTGGATCCTGAGGAAGAAGCCCCACTTGAAGTGGACCGTGATGCTCCTTTCATGGAGAAAACCCCTTTGCCTCTGCGAGTTGTTGTCACAGCCACACGAGGACGCTTCAGTGGAATCACTGCACGGGGTGGTGGTGGGACACGGCCATGGTAATCAAACAACCTAGAAAAGATTAAGTCAGCTGGACTCCACAAAGTCTTCTGTGATTTCATGTAATGGAAACCCTGTCAACTAATTTTCCATGTTATCTTTGAGATAAATTACCCTTTGAAACCATAATCACTTTATATCACAGACAAATTAGATTTCAAGGACCTATACACTTAAAGTGCCATATTCAGATTTCAGTCACAGACCAGTGCATAGCTCAGATATTTTGTGTAATTTAAATGAGGGATGCATTATGGCACTTTGTTATTTGCAGTGTGGAAAATCCATAACCTGCTTTCCACAGGTCCATATTATTTCATTGCACACAACTAGCAGTAGTACATTTTGTTGTGGTGACATTTCAGCTCCTTTATTACATGCATGGCTTAAATTCTAGTTTTCTATCTGCTATCCTTAAAGACAGAAAAAGAAATGAACTTTTCTGAAGCCAACTGGCACCATAAAGAAATATCTTGCCATTTGTAAAATAGCAGAAGAGTCTTTATAGTGAGCAACCTGTATGTCCTTTTGAATGCATAGAAAAGAGGTCCCAGCATATTTTCTCTTTAGTGAAGAATGAATTGATGTAGAATCTCTAAAACACCCAAGCATGCTTAATAGGAAAAAAGTCTTGTTAAAACCAAAACTACTGTGGCAAGTAGAAATTCAGAGAATTACCACTACAGTCAATTAAAGATACTCTACCACCAAAATGAATGAGTGTTCTAAAACAGAATACTCCAGTCCTAAAAACACAGTTTTCAACAGCAGCTAACTAAGCTGTTTAGAAGAAAATAAAGGCAGTAGAAACAGTAATCAAAGCTACAGATACATTTAGAACATAAAAGCTATGTACTCTGAATATGACAGGTCAGGAGAAGAAAGTTCAGAAAATGAAGATTTCCAGTTCAGAGACTGAAGCAGAGGGATAAGCAACATTCTCACAAAATGTTCTTTAGTTTCTTTCAAATTATACTTGCAACTAGTAATTATGGAAATTTATAACTGCATGTTTAATTTTCACAGTTCTGACTACTGTCACCCAGCTGGGCAGATAGACACACATTTGAAAACAGACACAGAAGAAACAGTAATTCACTCACCATAGTGCCTAATGGCATGCTGAACAGGAAGCAGAATAAAACTTAAGTCTTCTAGCCCATTTTTTGGCAAATAAACAACTAATGCTTAAATCCCAGGATCCTTACTATGGCCTGTACTGTAATCTTACAGATAATAGAACCAGCTTCTTCCTTTTCCATAGCTGCCTACAAAATGTGTCACAGCGATCCTGTCACCCCCACTGAAATTAAACTCCGTGACCCTGAATATTCTTACTGAATAAGCAGTTTCTAGCCATTGTGAGCATAACTAAACAACAGTGCATGAAGAAGAACACTAAAAAATTTTTGAGACTTTTAACAGAAATGTTATTTTTTCTTGCCGCTCATGATTTATCAGATTGGATGATCTGCAGGATGGTCACAATCTCCTGTTTGATATTACTGGAAAAAAATGTTTCAGAAGAACTGTAAGCTATCATGCAAAAAGATTATTATGCAATTATTCTTCCAAAGGTGATTTTCTTCTACTTGTTTAAGTAATGTAGTGAAATGCAAAACTGTGCTTCCTTTTTTGAAATACATAAAAGGACTGTTATCTAATATTACTTTTCTTACTTTTATTTTTAAAATTAAGCAAAGCTTTTTGACTTGATATTTTGTTGCACCTACTTCTACATGTTTCAATTATATGCTTTCTTTAAAAAAAAATTCCTTTTTTCAGTTTTGAAGTACCCTGCTTGTTTTCCTTGTGCTTGTAATATGAGAAATGATACAGAAATGCTCAGTTCTAAAGCAATTCTTTGTCCCAATAATCACTAATGTACATATAACAGTGCCTTTTCTTCTTTTTTTCCCTTCTAAATTGAGCAGTCCTCATCTTGTTAACCTGTCTTCATGCAGATTTTATTTTGCAGCACTAACCATTCTTGCCACTCTTTTCTGACCCCACCACTTCTTTAGTCAAGGTAAGATATATGCATTCTCCCTTCAGAGAGACAGGAAAACTAATGAATATTAGAAAACAAGATGTATGGTTTGGGATAAAACAGAAATTCAGAAAGTTCAGAATTTCAGTATTTAAGATATTCAAAGAATCGTAACTACATTTCGTAATTTATATTTTCTATAGGCACGTTGATAGTACATCAAACTCTCAATGGGATTTTCTTTCCATGCCTACCACATAGAGCTTTTCATCTTCCACTTCCACTAACTTATTTCTAACAGAGACCCTTAACCTCCTAAGATCTTTACTGTCAACAGGTCAGCATGTCCAGCCTTTTGAGGCCAACCTCATATCTAGGTTTTCTACAATAAAAGTTCTTGATCTTGAAAGAGTTCTAAATTAGAAAATTATAGTATTGAGTAGATTCATGGACACATTCACTGTCAGTGGTTTTCCATAATAAGACAATCACCTAGATAGACAGCAAGTTCCACAGAAACCACCTTTAATGTCCCATAAGTGTTCCTTTTGTTGTGGAAATGTAACCATTTAGTTGTTCACATGTGCTACCCATGGTATACAGAATTAGGGAAAACAACCTAAAGACACATAACTTTAATATTCAGGTGGCATAGATCAGACATAGTACTCTTCTAAAAACATACAAAACCACTGATAAAACACAAAGCAGTAACCTTGGGGAAAGTAAACACAAGCCTGTGGAAGTTAACTTCTTACAGGACATCATCTGCTTCTACTGTCAAGACTGCACTGAGCAGGTTTAAACTGCATTTATGGCTTTTACTTCATATGTTTATAGCTGACTATGTTAACTCTGCTAAAAGTGAGAATGGTTATTTACATGCAAAAACAAAACTAGTGACTCAAATGGAATCAACCTCAGGAAAAAAAACCAACAAAAACAAACAACGCAAACCCCAGAAAACATTGTTTCTAAGCAGAAAAGTATATTGCATGTGATAACTTCAGGGTGTAAATCACTCCCTTGCTTTCCTCCACTCCTTTACATAAAAGAAATCTCAGATTAGAAGAGGTTGGTGGAGCAATCGTCTGTACCCCTGACTCACTTGGCCTATAGTAAACCAGGCTGCAGAGACACAACACTGCAGGATCACAAGTTGGTTATCCATGTTAACCCTATGTTGTGGTGACTGCTAAATCTGAATGACAAAATTCCCACAGCGCTGAGCCAGGCGGTGCATATGTAGTCCATTTGCTCAAGTATCTACACTTTTTAGCCTATAGACACACACATGCTGTTCAGCTTGTGGTTTTGCTTATCTCAAGGTTTTTCTAGACTTCTAAATGTTCTTGGAAGACACATTTTTCAGGAGACATTTTATATCTTTTCACACACATGGATGAAAAGACAAAGAGTGTCGTCCTGAAGAATTGTACAGTTGCTATATGTTCCAGTGAAAGTAAGCTTGGAAGAAATCTGTAGGGAGAAACACTGAACAATTAAACTACCTTTAAACTATTCAGCACAGAAAATACCCCAAAAGCTCTCAGAGAAGGCTAAGACCAAAAGAGCTGTTTGATTAGCATACATTTTGTGGTGATAATCCTCTCTGTAATATATTAAAACAATAATCTTCTGATACACAATAGACGTAATGAAATTAATAATATGTAAAATTAAAAGAGACTTATCTAACCAAACAATGTGATTACATTATAAACAAATAGTAGAAATGGTGTAGGATGTATAAAAATATAACAACACATACCTATTGTAGAAGTCATCTCTGTAGTAATCATAATCAAAGACATAACCACTGTGGAAAAACATAGAACAACAAGAATGAACTGGTTTATAGAAAAATGTACATTGATTAAAACTTTTGTGGTAATATTGGCTTACTCTCACATTCCAAGCCCTTCTTCAAAGTCCTTGCATTTCTTCTGTTCCTTATGTTTGTCAATGCTGCTTTCAGCTATTATCATAGTTTATTTGGAAATGTGAAGTCCGGGGCACACAGTACAGTGTCAAGAGTCGACAGCACATAAAGAAAGGATTTAACACAGTGTGACAGCTCTGTAATTAAAGCATCATTATAGTGTAACTCTCTGAGTGATCAAATGAAGTGAGCACTCTAATTCTGAAGCCTTCAGTATGTTGCCCCCTCAGCCCTCCCTATGCTGCTGGGCTAACATAGCATAATCAGTGGATGTTCTTGTTTTGGTTTCAGCTGGGATAGAGATAATTTTCTTCTTAGTAGCTGGTAAAATGTTGGGTTTTGGACTTAATATGAGAATTATGTTGATAACCCACTGATGTTTAAGTTTTTGCTAAGTAGTGCTTATACTAACTCAAGGACTTTTCAAAGCTTCAAACTGGCCAAAGGGATATTTCATATCATATAATGTCATACTCAGCATACAAACTGGGAGGAGTTTCCCAGGACACTGCAATCGCTGCTTGGGACTGGCAGAGCATTAGTCATTGGGTGGTGAGCAATTGCACTGTACACCACTTGTTTTGTGTATTCTTTTATGATTACAGAATCACAGATTATTACTGTTATTATTGTTGTTGTTGTTATTATTATATTATTATTTTTTCCTTTGCTGTCCAATTAAACTGTCTTTATTTCAACCCATGAGTTTTCTCACTTTAACCCTTCTGATTATCTCCCCTCATCCACTGGGGTTAAACCACAACAGTCCTTTTTGGCATCCAACGTGGGCCTCAAAGGGTTGAGACAACAGGACATCTAACAAGAGCATGTTAAAACAAATTTGTTATAAGCATTCATTATATTAGTTTAATAGTCACTCGTTGCAATGCTAATTTATTTGCTCTCAAACTTGTTGTACTTGTTCTCAAAGTTGTTGTGCTTATAGATGGGAATCAGGGAGTCTCAAATGGTACATTGGTGGCAATATCAGACCAGCTGAGACCCCCTGATTCCCATCCATAAGTTAATTCATTGACTGGAGAGTCAAGGATCCATCAGCAAGACTTGCTCACCCTTTAATAGTCCCACATGGCCAGCATGAAAATCTAATGGAAAGTGGAGACTAACAGTAGACTACCGTGACCTGAGTAAAGTCATGCCACAGCTGAGTGCTGCTGTGCCAGACATGCTAAAACTTCAATGTGAATCAGAGTCAAAGGCAGCCAAGTGGTTGCCACAGCTGATATCTCCAATGCATTTTTCTCAATCTCTTTGGCAGCAGAGTGCAGGCCACAGTTTGCTTTTACTTAGAGGGGCATTCAGTACACCTGGAATCAACTGCCCCAGGGGTGGAAAAATAGCCGTACTCTCTGTCATATGGTAATCCAGACTGTACCGGAACAGGATGAAGCTCCAGAATACCTGCAATACATTGACCATCATAGGATGGGGCAACAGCAGAAGCAGCTTTTAAGAAAATGAAGAAAATAGTCCAAACCCTTTTGAAAGCTGCTTTTGCCATAAAACAAAGTGCAGTCAAGGATTCTCTCCAAGAGATCCAGTTTTAGGAATAAAATGGCAAAATGAATGTTGTCAGATCCCAACAGATGTGATCAATAAAATAACAGCTAGGCCTTCATCACCTAGCAAAAAGGAAACACAAGCTTTCTTAGGTATTGTGGGTATCTGGTGGATGCATATTCCAAATTAGTTTGATTGTAAGCCTTCCCTCAAGTGACCTGGAAGAATGATTTAAAATGGGGCCCTGAGCAAGCCTTTGAACAAATTAAACAGAAAATAGTTCTGGCAGTAGCCCTTGAGCCAGTCCAGGCAGGACCAGATGTTAAAAATGTGCTCTACACTGCAACTGGGGAGAATGGTCCTACCTGGAATATCTGGCAGACGTCACCATGGGAGACTCAATGCTGACTCCTAGGATTTTTTAATATAGAGGATCTGAGGCTCAGTATACTCTAACTGAAAAAGAGATATTAGCAGAATATGAAGGAGTTTTTGCTGCTTTGGAAGTGGTTGGTACTGAAGCACAGCTCCTCTTAGCATCCTGATGGCTGGTGCTGGGCTGGATGTTCAGAGGGAGGGTCCTCTCTACTCATTATGGAACTGATGCTACGTGGAGTAAATGAGTTGCACTCATCACACAAAGGGCTTGAAAAGGAAACCTCAGTGACCCAGGAATCTTACAAGTGATCATGGACTGACCAAAAGGCAAAGATTTCAGAATACCACCAGAAGAGGATGTGATGTGTGCTGAAGAGGCCCAACTGTATAACAAACTGCCAGAAAATAAGAAGTTATATACCCTGTTCACTAATGGTTCCTGCTGCATTGTGGGAAAGCATTAGAGGTAGAAAGCTGTTGTATGGAGTCCTATAAAACAAATCACAGAAGCAGCTGAAGTAGAAGGTGAATTGAAACAGTTTGTGGATATGAAAGCCATCCTGATAGCTTTAAACATTGCTGATCAAGAAATGTGGCCAGTGCTCTGTCTCTATACTGACTCATGCATGGTTGGAAATGCCCTGTGAGAGTGGTTATGGCAATGGGAGCAGAGCAACTGGCAGCACAGAGGCAAACCCATCTGGGTTGCTGCACTGTGGCAAAATATTGCTGCCTGGTTAGAGAATCTAGTTGTAAAATTACATCAGATGCCCACATACTCAAGAGACAGGCCACTGAGTAACATTAAAACAACCATCAGGTGGATCAGCCTGCTAAGACTGAAGTAACTCAGGTGGATCTGGACTGGCAACATAAGGGTGAATTATTTGCAGCTTGGCTGGCCCATGACACCTCATGCCATAAAGGAAAACATATATGCAACATATAGATGGGCTTGTGATCAAGGGGTGGACATGGATTCAGGTTATCCATGAATGTGAAACACCACAATCAAGGAAGCCAAGCAGTTAAAGCCTCTGTGATATGGAGGATGATGGCTGAAATATAAATATGAGGAAGCCTGACAGATTGTTTATATCATAGTCCCACAAATTCACAAAGGCAAGTGCCATGTGCTTAAAATGGTCAAAGCAACCACCAGATGGCTGGAAACAAATGCTATGCCCCATGCCACTGCCTGGAACACTTTCCTGGGCCTTCAAAATCAAGTGTTATGATGACATTGAACCCAAGTAAGGATTGAGTCAGACAATGGGACTAATTTCCAAAACAACCTCATAAACACCTGGGCCAAAGAGCATGGCATTGAGTCGGTGTATCACATCCCGTATTATGCATCAGCCTCTGGGAAAATTGAATGATACAACAGACTGTTAAAGACTACACTGAGTGCAACATGTGGTGGGACTTTAAAACATTTAGCAAAAGCCACATGGTTAGTTAACACTAGGGGATCTACCAATAGACCTGGCCCTGCCCAATCAAAAACTTCATGTACTGTAGAAGGGGAAAAAGTTCCCACAGTGCACATAAAGAATATGTTAGGCAAGACATTCTAGATTATTCCTGCCTCAGGCAAGGGCAAACCTATCCACCGGATTGCTTTTGCTCAAGGACCTGGTTGCACTTTGTGGGTGATGCAGAAGAATGGGGAACTTCGATGTGTACCTCAAGAAGATTATGATTAATATATATTA